AATTAGAGGACATCATATAAATTTTCTCGAAAAAAAATTGAATATTTTTTAATAGAATAAAAATTTTCTCATAGAAATGGAAAATTTTTTCGTATAAAAGAAATTTTTTCTTCTTCCTATAATAGAAATTTTTTTTAAAAAACAGAACATTCTTTTAACAAAACAAAAACTTTATTTTTTTTTTAAAAAAAAATGCCTAATTCCAGTAAAAGAACATTTTTATGAGAAATAAGAGGAAATTTATTATGTTTGTAGATTCATTTTTTCACAATAAAGACGAATAAAACATTTACAAAAATAAAACATTTTTCTTATAAAAAATCATTTCACTTGATTCCTGTGAAAGAATATATTTTAATGAAATGAAAAAAAATTATGTATGCAGATTGAATTCTTCGTAATGGAAAGATCGAAAATCCAGTCTTTTCTTAGAATAGAGTAGAGAAAAATGTAAGTGTAAAAGCTCGAAATGAGTGTTTACAAAAACAGACGCAGTTTGAAATGAGCGTTTCACCCGCACGCTAACCGCATTCTGTGATGCGCGATCTACTGGGAACCGTGTATTAACAATCAGTCCACTACAGGACAATCAATATATATATATNCTTCGGTGATATGCTGGGAACCGTGTCTTAACAATCAGTCCACTACAGGACAATATATATATATATATATATATATATTGGTTAATGGCGGGCACTTGGGTCTATTTCCCATTTACCTCAGAAATGCCAGAATTGATACTCTCTTATCATTACCCAGTGAGCACCTATGGTTAAGCCACGGCAGTGGAGTAGCGTCGCCCACGTCATACAACCACAAACCAGTTTATAGATCGGGTTACATTCACACAGAAGAAAGGACATGGAACACAGAAAGGGAGAGAGAGAAACATCCATGACCGGAGCGGGATTCGAATCCGCAACCATCGGCTCCACAGTCAGGTACGCTAACCACTCGGCCACCTGGTTGGCACAGGACAAAATATTATGTGTATAATTTATAAAATGTAAATTTTTTTTATCTAATAATAAAAAATAACTAAAAAAAATTACCAAATAATTTAAGTTTAATTTTTTTTATCGCACTTGTGAGTTTAGTTTCTTCTAAGCTGCATATTTCCAAGTAAAAATCGCATTTTCTACCATTCCTTAGGGCGCGGGTCCCAAGATGGTAAATAAGTTCTTTTCAATGTCATATCCATTCATATTACGTCATATCCATCTGAGCTCCGTATAAATTATTAAAATGATAACAGAAGTAAAATCAGTACTTACTTTGCCATGGAGATCTGTTGGACCATTTTCAGCAACAGAACTCAAAGCTCCTCCAAATATTTCAACATCAGGTAATGCTTCCATCGGTACTCTCAAAATTTTACTCAATTCTCGAGATTTTTCCTGAAAAAAAAAAGATATAAGTTATAGTAGTAGTACTTTAATTATGTTACAATAAAGCTGCACAATTGGCTATTGGCGATGATCTCTCAGCATGATTCGAAGACATGACATCACAATTTTTATCCTCTGCAGAGAGGATGGCTCCACCGATTTGGTAGACTTACGACCTGCACGTGAGTCGGTTGAACAGTTTAACGAGAGCCGCTACTGCGCATCCTCAGTTCTTTCGTTGTCTGATCTAAGTGGTCACCCATCCGCTCATGGACCAGACGGTAATGCTTGACTTCGGTGATCTGCTGGAAACCATGTCGTAGGATGAGTCCATTGCGGGACAGACCATTATTTCATTTTGTTAAAATCTATTGCTGTATTGCAGTTTGTTACCCAAATAGGATTTTTGTAAGTACAGATAGCTCAAAAGCTATCCACTAGCAAACTATTAACCACTACTAGTAAAGTATTAACTATTAACCACTAGCAAACTGTTAAGAACCCTCCGACCAGTGATTGGTTAAAAATTGAGCAGATTCTCATTCTCACATTCGGTTTTATTATATTTTAAAACCGGAATTGAATTTCTGACCCATCATTGGATTTACGGCTATCAATGTTCACCTCCGTATCCTTGTAACTTTGAGCCCAACACAGAAGACAAAGGAAATCTTGGATCAAAAATTCGGACTAATTAGCCTTTGTGGAGGAAATTTTGGACTGGCAATCAACCCGCACTTGCGTTACATGAAGTAAAAACTACGAAAACCTCTCACGTTTGAGGAGGGAAAATCGGGGAAGGAACTTAAATATTTTTTTTTCTAAACAAAGTATTGTTCCTGGTATATTTTTGTACACTGAATTAAATGAGATAAAGTACGAGATGATGGGATTTACATACTTTAGAAGCTATAATAGTATTAAATATACAGTACAAAGTTTGACTTGTACTAAAATGCGCGCCATACATTACAACCTAGACAAGCGAAATATTGTACATAAGTATTTTTCCACATTGAATTGAATAAGACCAATCAAGTGTTAGTAGGGTTAATAGATTAGAAATTGTACGAGTTTTTATGTATTAAAAGAATAAGTATTGTTTTTGCTTGTATTTATTAACTATTATCTTATCACATTGAATTGAATTTAAACTCATTTTATACAACGTAAAAAATACATCCGAAACAGCCTTTCATGTGAAAACCACAGAAAATAATATCGTTAAAATCTGACAATTCGTAGTGTAACATTCCTTTAATCACTCATTTGAAACAGTAGAGAAATGCCATCCTTATAATCAATCTTACCATCAAAGATTAGAAAGAAGAAACTTTATATGTTTATTTTCATTACACTATTCGTATGAAGCATTAGAAAAAAACATCTTAATCTGAGAATAATACTCTACTAGCCATCCGTGTAAAGTAATAGTGATTAATATCGCTATGATCTGAAGATGTAAAACAGTTTTGGCTTACAGTTTTTTTTTTTAACGAAATGCCTTCAAAGTAAGTAATTGAAAGAGAAGTGTTACACAAAAGAGATGTAGTACTTACGATAGCTTCATGGTTCATTTCCTTTTCCAAGTTTTCTGTCAGCATTTCACGAATCTCTTCTTTAGCTTGTGGAGTGTAGTAACTGCTATCAATACCCTCCAATTCTAGATGTTCCTGCCAATGTGTGCCTATTTCTCGTTCACTAACACCATCTAACAGAAAGAAATACATTTGTGTTTATTTTATGATACTTATTAAAATAAATCCTATATTTTTGTACTCTATTATTAAATACGCTACCACTGAGTTAGGTATTCATCTTAATGTTACATATTTCTTTTGCCGCGCAAAAATAAATAAAACTTAGAAATTTGTAATTACAAGTTTCTAAGTTTTATTTATTTTGGTTTAATTACAAATTTACAGAAAGTACGATGAGATAACAAAAATTAAATTTTGATAATGAGTTCGGGAATTATTACCCGTTAGAAACTTGTAGCAAAAACTACCATGCGGGGATATACTGCAGATTGGAGAATGTGACTTGAAATACCGATATGCAGATTTGTAACTCATTTTATCGTTTAGAACTCTGGAGACGAACCCACCTCGAGCCTTAAGTACGGGAGTTTTGCCCTGTAATGTTTATGCTTAGTTTTTGTTCATGCTTGTTATGCTTAGTCTTAGTTAAAAACTGAAATGGCACATTTTGAACTACGATCACTTTCGCATTTCGATTTTTGTCATCCAGATTTAGAAACTACGTGTGGTTTTTTTTCCTGAACGAAAGAGCTTTGAAAATAAGCCTTGCTGTGAATAATTACTACATGGTTTGTCATTGCAAACTGTTCTCTGGTATGCTAAACTTGACATTTAAGAGATTTTCTCATAAGAAAAAAAAAGAGTTTGGGTACTTTTAAAATTTTTTATTTGAGACCTTCGTGAAGGCTGCTAAATCTTTAAATAACATGATGTTAATGGTATGGTGTTTGATATTTCTAAACAGCTACACGATGAGTAAAGTACACGATTTTTCAAAAGCTGATTTCCCCAAAAAAATTCATTAAAAATGTTACTTTATCCGCACTTTATAAGCTTAGGAGCATAGGCTTAGAATTAAGTGATGCGTGTGCACTTTATAAGTACCCTGCGGCGTTGCTGCTGTATCAATCATTATTTCTTGTGAAGCGAACTGATCTTCACTTCACATTTATACTGTGAGATCGGAACGATCTGTACAGTATAAATGCTGTGACGTAGATTTTACTCTTTACGAACAGCTGTATTTTACAAGACCACGCTGAGCATGTGGAATCTGTTGCGTTTGGTGTAAATAAATGTTTTCTTTAGCTGTTTACACAAATGTTATTTCCCGACCCCAGAATAATTCCAGAATTTGTGTCTAGATGAAACTATACTCTCCATTGCTTACATGCCCTGCAAAGTAAATTTGCAAAGGTAATACACCCTTGTGCAAATTAATTGAAACAAAATTTTCTTTTCGTGTTTTTTAAAGAAGATGTTTTGGGGTTGTTTCGGTTACAATGGGGTTGGACCTTTGCAGCCTATTGACGGTATGATACGTTCTGAGCAGTACATTACTGTTCTGGGTAAAAAAGTTGTTCCAGAGTTGAAGAAACGATACCCTGATGGAACAGGGATTTTTCAACAGGATTTAGCTCCTTGCCATACGTCCAAAATTGTCAAGAAATTCATGTCTGAGAATCAAATTGAGACATTGGAATGGCCAGGGAACTCTCCGGATATCAACCCAATTGAGAATCTCTGGGCCATATGCAAGAATCGCCTATTAAATATGGACTGTACAACTATGGAGAAGCTAATTCATGTGTGGTACAAGGACACAAATATTATAAATGACTGTAAAAAATTAGTGGAATCCATGCCGAATCGTGTCCAAATGTTAATAAAGTGTCGTGGAGATCATATTATGTGTACTAAAAATTTTTGAGTTTGTATAAATTTAAATAAAATAGCATTTTCTCTAAGTTTTCTGAATTTATTGAGTTAGTTTCAATTAATTTGCACAAGGGTGTAAATTAAAAAAGAGAAACTAAATAGAATCTTGTATTTCAATACCAAATACATCGCTCTTATTCTGCCGTCGTCTGTGTTCCATAACAACTGAATTCTTTGCAATGACGATTTGAGAGACTAAAGTCATTCTTCCTTCCCCAATGCATTTGTCATTGAAGCGACTCTTTTCGTACTCGTCCAGTTGTTCTTCTGTTGGCAAAGACGTCTGAAATAAATTAAGAAATTGCACATTTTACTGTGCATTTATACTTGATTTAATTCGGGCGTGGGTGCTCCGAAAACAAGAAATTAGTCTTGTTCCGAAAACAACATATTTTTTTTCAGAATGATATTTTCCTCATTGGTAAAATGGGTGTTGTTTTGGGTTTGACGGCGTGCGCACCTTATTTGGACGTCATCACACTTTTCAACTGTGTTCAAGGGTAATAGTAAACAGTGCTCATGCGTCGTCATTGCATGCGTTGCTATGGCGACCGCTTCTGTTTCATAACTTTTTTAGAATTCTTTTTTTTTTCACTTTTAATTTCGCTATGCATTAAGTTGACGGGTTTATTTTTGAGATATGGGACCAGAGAGATCCCATAAATACTTCTTGAGTGTTGAAAGAAAGAGAATTTCATCGTTTCAACGACGATATTTCTGTTTTTATTGTTTTAATTAAGAATCAGAAATTCTAACCTACAGTTCAAACTGGATCGTTTTCAATACTAATTCAGGTGAATATCACAAATAAAGAGGGTCCCAAATTGATTGACACTGTCCGGAAGGTTAGAGTGGAAGCAAGAAAAAAAAAGCAATACCAAAACTTACCGAGGCTGAAAAAGCCAAAGAACGTAGACTGGAAAAAAATTAGACTACAACCATTTTACCAATGGGCATCCTGTGATCATCTTACGGCGATCACATTATTTTTTTTTAGCTTAATTTAGTTTAATATTTTGCCTGAAAGTACAAGTTTATAAAAAACGTACAGTCAGTGGGTGGAAGTGAAACTACTGTAGTCGCTGCTTTTTTTGTAGTTTGTTTCGTGTGCTTCATTTTTTTAAAAAGAATAGTGCGATGAAAAATAAAAGTAGTTTGTAGCGATTACAGGCAACTACTTTTAACGTTAGTTTAGAAACACTGCGCTAACACTCNACTATACTCTCCATTGCTTACATGTCCTGCAAACTAAATTTGCAAAGGTAATAAATTAAAAAAAGAGAAACTAAATATAATCTCGTATTTCAATACCAAATACATCGCTCTTATTCTGCCGTCGTCTGTGTTCCATAACAACTGAATTCTTTGCAATGACGATTTGAGAGACTAAAGTCATTCTTCCTTCCGCAATGCATTTGTCATTGAAGCGACTCTTTTCGTACTCGTCCAGTTGTTCTTCTGTTGGCAGTGACGTCTGAAATAAATTAAGAAATTGCACAGAAATTGACAGAGAAATCACACATTTTAAAATTGATTACAAATTTTACTGTGCATTTATACAAATACTTGATTTAATTCGGGCGTGGGTGCTCCGCAAACAAGAAATTAGTCTTGTTCCGAAAACAACATATTTTTTTCCGAATGATATTTTCCTCATTGGTAAAATGGGTGTTGTTTTGGGTTTGACGGCGTGCGCACCTAATTTAAACGTCATCACACTTTTCAACTGTGTTCAAGGGTAATAGTAAACATTGCTCATGCGTCGTCATTGCATGCGTTGCTATGGCGACCGCTTCTGTTTCATAACTTTTTTAGAATTCTTTTTTTCACTTTTAATTTCGCTATGCATTAAGTTGACGGGTTTATTTTTGAGATATGGGACCAGAGAGATTCCATAAATACTTCTTGAGTTGTGAATAAAAAGAGAATTTCATCATTTGAACGGTATTTTTGTTTTTATTGTTTTAATTAAGAATCAGAAATTCTAACCTACAGTTCAAACTGGATCGTTTTCAATACTAATTCAGGTGAATATCACAAATAAAGAGGGTCCCAAATTGATTGACACTCTCCGGAAGGTTAGAGTGGAAGCAAGAAAAAAAAAAGCAATACCAAAACTTACCGAGGCTGAAAAAGCCAAAGAACGTAGACTGGAAAAAAATTAGACTACAACCATTTTACCAATGGGCATCCTGTGATCATCTTACGGCGATCACATTATTTTTTTTTAGCTTAATTTAGTTTAATATTTTGCCTGAAAGTACAAGTTTATAAAAAACGTACAGTCAGTGGGTGGAAGTGAAACTACTGTAGTCGCTGCTTTTTTTGTAGTTTGTTTCGTGTGCTTCATTTTTTTAAAAAGAATAGTGCGATGAAAAATAAAAGTAGTTTGTAGCGATTACAGGCAACTACTTTTAACGTTAGTTTAGAAACACTGCGCTAACACAACTTATTTTTCGAATTCGACGGGTACAAATCTTTGCCGGTCCGTCAATGAATTCAATGAAAATGACCCTGTGGCTGCAGCTGAGCGTTAACAGAAATTACATATTTAAAATTAAGTATAACTGATATTTAAACTAGACATTAAGAAAAACCGATTATTAATAACTTTTCTCACACTTTCACGTGCGAACGCACACTCGTGAAACATCGATGCTTATTTCCAAGGAAGAAAACGTATTTTCGATATCTTTAATTTCTTAGAAGAAATAAAAGAACTTAAAGCAATTGAAAAATTGCAGGTATTTGATAATTTCGCACTTCTTAAATTAAATATTCACTGTAAAAAAACAAAATTAACGAACAAAATTAACGAGTTCATCGAGCAAATTCAAAAAATATGCTTGGGAATGCCAAAGTGGCTCATGTAAACATGAATAAATATTTCTTAATTATTCCCTTATCTGTAATGTACTTACTTCTCATTCAAAACCATTTTGAACATGGGTTTAAATTAAGTTCTCCAGCAAAGTTTGTTTCCTTAAAGCTGTTTTTCGATGTTCTGACGCTAAGGAAAATAAAACAGCCATAGTTTAAGTGCATTAAAAATGCAGCATTGCGACGATTTTAAACTATATATATGTAATCTTGCCGTGAAGAATTATCTGGTCTTTAGAACAGAGAAATAACGTAACTATCTTAAAAGCTATTGGACTTTTTTAAAAATCGCCATTTTGGCGACATTTTTCTACCTAGATGAAAATCATTGACGCGGAGCCTGAAGTGTAATAAATAAGTTGATGCCACATAATAAACAGTTTTGAAGTTGTATTAAGCTTTTAACTATACTATTATTTTTTTTAATTGAATATGAGAACCTTACCGTAAAATTCGAAATGCCGTACCACGTCACAGCACCAATGGAATCTTCAACTGTGCACCAAATTTCATGTGTACCATAAGGTAAAACAACTTCTACTTTTTCCTTCTTACCATAAGAGAGACGCATATATACATCATCATACTTCACTCTTTAC